TCATACCATTCATGAATAATGATAGTCTCATTTGCTCTTTTATAATCCTTATACCTTTTCTTTCTTTTTCTTGTGTTAGAACCTGCAGTATAGTGTTGAATGGAAGTGGTAATAGTGATCATTACTGGCATGCTCCCAGCCCTAAAGGAAAAGCTTTCAACCTTTTACCACCAAGTGTGATGTTTGCTATAGAATTTTTGTAGGCACTTTATGAGATTAAGTATGTGCCCTTCTATTCCAGGTTTTCTAAGAGTTGTTATTGTGATAGAATGTTGAATTTTATGAAATGCCTTTACTGCATGTATTGAGGTTTTATCAGACTTTTTTATTGCATTAATTTGACACATTACACAGTCCATTTCTAATGTTAAACCATCATTATACTACTACAATAAATACAACTTTTCATATATTTAATATTTTTATATTACATTTTCTATATTACTTGATTCTGTTATAGTTAGGATATTGTTTAGGATTTTTGCATGTGTTTATGAGTAAAGTTAAGCCATAATAATCCTTTTTTGTTTTTGTTTTTGTTTGTTTGTTTTGAGACAGGCTCTCACTGTTACCACCCAGGCTACAGTGCACTGGCATGATCTTGGCTCACTGCAGCCTCAACCTCCTGGGCTCCTGCCTCAGTCTTCCATGTAGCTGAGGCTACAGGCATGTGCCACCACGCCTGGCTAATTTTTGTATTTTTTTGTAGAGAAGGGGTTTTGCCATGTTGCCAAGGCTGGTCTTGAACTCCTGAGCTCAAGCGATCCACCTGCCTCAGCCTCCCAAAGTTCTGGGATTGTGAGCATGTGCTACTGCACCTGGCAGTAATCCTTCTTTTTAATGTATTTGTTTTGTTTTGTTATCAAAGTTACGCCTGACTCTAAAGACAAGTTAGGGAATAATTTTTAATTCTGTGGAAGAATTTGTTATTTCTTCTTGTCTGCCACTGAAATCTAGGCCTAGAGTTTTTGTTTTTGGAAAGATTTTGATTCTGGATTCAATTTCTTTAATATTATTCACATTTCTAATTTCTTCATTGATGGTATTAATTAGATTTTTGTAGAAATTTCTCCACTTTGTCTAAAATTTTATACTTATTGACATGAAGTTGTTTTTAGTAGTCTCTTACCCTCTGGGTCTACAAGATTTGTAGTGACGTCCCGTTTTTCATTCCCACCTTTAGTTATTTGTGACTTCTCTCTTTCAGTCTTGCTAGAGTTTTAAAATTTTTATTTGCCTCTTCAAAGAGCTACATTTGACTTTGATTGTCTTCATTCTAATGTTTGTTTGCACTTTTCTTTATTGCTTTTGTTGCAGGAGGAATTTATTATGTTGTTCTTTATCTAGTTTCCTGAAATAGATTCTTACATCCTTAATTATGAATCTTTCCTTCTTTTCTAATGTATGTATTTAAGGCTATAACTTTAAAGTAGACAGAGCTTACATGGGTTTTTATATTGTTTCATTCAAAATATTTTCTAATTTCCATTGTGATTTCCTCTTTGACCATGGTTTGTTTTAAAGTCTATTTCTTAATTTCTGAGTGTACAAGAATTTTTAATTTTCTCTTTGTAACTGCATTATTAGAAAACTTGTTTTAAATTACTTTAATGGTCAGATAAATTATTTCAACCCTTGGAATTTTGTTGTTTTGCTATGTGTGCTTTAAAGTGAGTATTCTGTAGTTAGATACTGAAGTCTATATATGTCTGTTAGATTGCTTACATCAAGTTCAGTTTTACATCATTTCTGATTGCATGTGCACACTTGTTCTGTCAGTACTGATTATAGTCTATTTTTCTTTAAGTATTTCTGTCAATATTTTACTTTAAATTTTTTTGAAGCAATTTCTTAAGTACATACATATTTGGAAATGTTTTATCTTCATAATATGAACCTTTGTCATTGTGAGGTATCCCTCTTTATCACAGGTAACACTTCGTAAAGTTTACTTTGTTTGTGGTTAACATAGCTGTACTAGCTTTATTTTGGTTAGTATTTGCATGGTATGTCTTTTTTTTTTCCCATTTCTTTACTCTCAGCCTTTCTGAATTCACATGTCTTTTATAAACATCACATAGTTAGGTTTTCTCTTTTTTTATATGGCCTGACAATCTTCAAATTTTAATAGGAGCATTTCATCTATTTACATTTAATATAATCACCAATATATTTGGGTTTAAAATCTGCTTTTTATGTGCTTTTTATTTGTCCTACCTGATATATGTTCCTTTTTCTTTTCTTCCTTGCCTTTTTTGCTCTTTCTTGCATTTTTTGACTACTTTTTTATTCCTTTTTTTTGTTTGCTTGGAAGTTTTACACTTTTACTATTATTTTAGTATTAACCAAATGGTGAAAACAGATCTGTGATCTATCAGTGTCTGTTAACTAGTAGTTTTATCTTTTTCCTAGATAATACAGGTGCTTTAGTATGCCTTACTATGATATGATTTTGTTGCTCTTGTTGTGTATCTTAATTATCTGTATGTTTTAAATCCAACACATCGTTATTGTGTTTTATGCAGTCACTGTTTAGACATACTCACTTTTCATTGCCTTTCATTATTTCTCACACCTCTAACTTTTCTTCTTGAGACATTTTCAATCTTCCCTTCAATATTTCCTTTAGTGCAGGTCTGCTGGTGTCAGATTCTCCCCATAGTCTGTCTGAAATGTCTTTATTTCACCTTCATTCCTGAAAATTATTTTCTATATATAACAGTTAAGCTTGGCAGTTCCTTTTTCCTTTCATACCATGAAAATATTCCATTGTTTTCTGCATTCCATTATTTCTGTTGAGAAACAGACTTTGAATCTAATAGTTGTTCCTTTTTTGCAAGTAATTTGCTTTTTGTAACTGCTTTTAAGTCTTTCTTTTACCTTAGGCCTTTAGTTTTTAACAGTAGTTTGTCTAGGTATGGACTTCTTTTCATTTCTCTTTCTTAGGGGTTGTAGGCTTTCTTAAATTCCTAGGTTAATATCTTTAACTGCTTTTAAAAAATGCTCTGCCATGATCTCTTCAATATTTCTTCTGTAGGATCTCTCTTGTCCTGATATTTGCCCAGGCTGGAGTGCAGTGACGTAAACTTGGCTCACTGCAACCTCTGCCTCTCGAGTTTAAGCAATTCCCTTAACTCAGCATCCTGAGTACTGGGACTACAGGCGCATGCCACCATGCCGAGCTAATTTTTGTATTTTCAGTGGAAATGGGGTTTCTTCACATTGGCTAGGCTGGTCTTGAACTCCTGACCTCAGGTGATCCGCCCGCCTCAGCCTCCCAAAGTGCTGGGATTACAGGTGTGAGCCACTGTGCCCAGCCATTCTTTTACTTTCTTTTGTGAATTTTTCCATTCTTTCGTTTCTTCCTGCTTGGTTCAGGATTTTTCTTTTGACCTAATTTCCAGTCCACTACTTCAACTATGTCTTCCTATCTCCTTCAGCATGGTTATTTTAAATCCCATAGCCACCATATCTGGAGTCTTTTAGGGTTTTCTGTCATTTTTACTAGTTTTTGTTTACGTTGTCTTGTCTCCTTTTGTGCCTGTTACCTTTGATTATTTGTCAGAGTATTTGAAACATTATTTTTAAAATATTTTGAGGCCTAGGATAATGTTACTTTCCTCCACAGAATGTTTTCATTTTTTTCTGCCTGGTCCTAAAGTATTAGCAATCTGAGATTACTTTAATTCATTTTTAGAGATTAGAATTTTCTGGACCATCCAGATGACTCGAAGCTAGACTACAGTATCTGCGAGGACTTTTGTAATTTCAGTTTACTCTTAGTCTAAGAAACAAACCTTAGGGATCCCAGTGTCAGGCACGGAGGTTTTGCCAGGCAGCAACTCACACCGTTGAGTGGGTCTGGCTCCAACTTTTATTCTCTACCCCAAGATGATGGCAAACTTTTTCTGTAAAGGACTAGAGAATATATTTTAGGCTTTGTAGGCCAGTCTCCGTCTCAGCAATCAACTCTGCCATTGTTTTGAAAAAGCAGCAATAAACAATAAGTAAATTAATGAGGATGAACGTATTCCAATGAAGCTGTATTTACAAAATATGTGCAAGGCTAGATTTGCCACACAGGCCATAGTTTGCCATCCTCTGCTGTAGCACGTCAAAAGCTCTGTTTAGAGTCACAGCCACCTCTGACATTTAGATTAGCGCTAAATGCTGGACTAGCCTCTCCTTAAATCTATCTGGTTAGCTCTTCAATGCCTTCAAGCATATGTTGAGTTTTTATGTTTCTTAGCAGGAGATTAACTTGGAAAGTTTAGTTTGCCACTACCAGAAGCTAAAGTCACATATAAAGTAACCAATGTTTGAAAAAGAAAAAAAAAAAAGGGGAGAAGCAGCAATGAGATTTTCACACTCTAATCTCAAGAATAGAAGTTTCTAAGAAAATATATCTCGCTAGCACCCTGTGTTATATAAATGACTACATTTTGTTTTTGTTTTTCAAAACTGAGTTTTAGAACATACTTCTATGGTCTTCCTAGAGAGACTGTACATTCCAAGGCTAAAGTTATAGAGCACTGTTATCCATCAGAACTTACTATGATGATAGGAAATGTATATGTGTACCAGTCAGTGTAGGGGTCACGAGCTACTTGTGGCTATTGAGCACTTGAAATGTGGCTAGTGTGACTGCAGAACTGAAATGTTACTTCAATTTTAATTAATTAAAAAAATATCCAGATGTGGCTATTTTGTTTGGAATGGATGCAGCTTATATTAAAAGAAGAATCTCATCTCAGTACACAGTGGTTTCTTACACTCCCACCTACCGAAGTATCCATTTTCCAGCACTCTTGCAAGAAATATTTTAACTTAAATGTATTGGATGAATGATGTCTCACTAAATATCCTAGGCCTTGCAGAATGTTTCCATTTGTTCTTACCGTTCACCTGGTGTGATGGGAGTACACTTGTTATCCTAAAAGATCTGCATGAAACTGATGCAGTCACTCAATTTACTTTCTAATGTGGATTTTTCTCTGCAGGGAAAGGGGCGTATTCGTCGAGGAAACTATCCAGGTCCATCGTCTCCTGTTGTAGTTCGGTTGCCTTCTGTATCTGATGTCTCAGAGGAGACCTTGACTAGTGAGGCAGCCATGGAGACTGACATCACAGAACAGCAGCAAGCAGCTATGCAGCAGGAGGAGAGAGTACTGACTGAGCAGATTGAGAACCTACAGAAGGAGAAGTGAGTATCCAGGAGGAAGGGGAGAGACAGTCATTGTCTGTTTTCATTTCCTTCCTTCTATCGTTTCTTTATTTTTTCTTATTTATTATCTCCTGTGTGTTAAACACTATGTCAGGTGATACAGGAGATGTTGAAATGACAAAGACATGTTGCCTGTACTCAGGTAACAGTGTGAAAGTTGTTCCCTCTGGGAAGCCAGTTCCATGAGCTGGAAAACCTGAGGCTGCTACAGTGATGGTCTGGAGAGGCTGACTGGGAGGAGGACACAGTATCCACAGGGCATGTCAGTCTTAGTCACGATTCATCTAGCAGTAACAGTGGGGAGCCAAGATGAGGCACTGGAGTCCTAACAGGTCAGAGACCAGCCTTCACGAACAGATTTATTTTGCAAAGAAGAGTAATAATTCTTAGGCTAAGCCAAAGTCCCTTTCAAGAATGGGCATCATTCACAAATCCATGAAGGAAGGTTATTAGCCAAAGATCCATATGGCCATGGGAACAGCAACTAGATGGTCATAGTAATGCTATAGCCCTAGAGAGTGCTAGGATACTGGATAGGGAAATTGGTTGCAATTTAGGAGAGAGACAAATAAGAAGCTCTTTTACCTCCATTCATCACTGTTGCAGGGATTGGGTGACATTATGCCTTGGGGATAATATGAACATGCCATGGTTCTCCCTAAGGGTGCTGTGTAATAGTTCTAGTCGACATTGATGACTCTTAGAAAGTCTTAATGGGATCTTTATTCCTGAGTTCCAGGATCACAGGTCTTGAGTTTGACTTATAAGGGGATATGAGACTGTTAAAGTACTTTTTTGGTCTCTCATGATTGATTCTGGAATATATATAGGCCAGCTAAAAAAGCAGCTGGGGCTCAGCTGTAAAAAACATGATAAGGCAAAGATGATGTACATTGACCAGGGGCTATTTGCTAGAAGAGTGATCTGAAAAGAAGACCCAATTCGGCTTTGATGCAGATGATGTTAGCGGTCTTGAAGGATTCATAGGAATTTTCAAGTAAGGGGAGAGTCCCTAGAAAAAGAAAGAAGAACGAGCACAGTCTCAGAATGCACATGACCTCAGACAATTGTAATACTGGTGATACTATTCTTGAAATGATTGTTCATGGATCTCAAGCTAGGTAAAGTGGAAGTAAAGGTAAAGGGCTCTGTTAGGGAAGAGACTTGATTAGAAGGTGAGTAAGAATTGGAAGGATAAGGAGGTTGTGAACAGGGCAGAATATTGGATTCACAGTTGGTGTATTCAGGTAATGACAGGCTCCAGCATCTGCCCATTGGAGAAAGTAGCTTAGCAAAAGTGGAGGAAAATATTGTTAGAAGTTGCAGACATAAAAGAACTTCAGTGTTAGGATATTGAGATGAATTTTTACAAAGATATTAATTGAATAGATCAGGTGATGTCAAGCATTAGTGAGAAAGCAAGGTTAGGACCTGAGTACCAAAGACATCACGGAATGTGGGGCATTACTGAGAGGTAGCTGGGTGACTGTGATGAATAAGGAAGACTAGAGAATGCGATAACTAAAGATGGCATAAGCTTCAAAGGACAGAAAAGATCAGTCAGTGTTTTTCTTCATCTAGAGGTCTCTGTGGTGAAGGTAGAGGATATAGTCCACAGCCAGTTAGTAAGCTTCATGGAAAATAGTTTAGGAGCTGGAAGGAATCTTAGAGGTTATCTAATTTAATCTCTTTGTTTTGTGGTAGGAAGCTGAGGTCCAGAGAGAGAAAGGTACTTTCCTGATGCATTATGGATATTATGAACAAGGTTAGAGCCCTGATCTCCTGATTATCAGTCCAGAGTTCATTTTACTGAAAGATCTCACCACGACAGCATCTTCACCCTACTCTTACCCCTATTATTGGTCCTAGATTGACTATGATTTTGTCCTTTAGTCCATATAGTTTTAGCGTTCACCATATTTGGCATCACCACCTGGATGGGGACAGTAAAAATGGACTCTCTTTGCTTCTTAGATTCCTGACTTTCATGGAGGATCTTTTTTTCTGTTATCTTCCTTCCACTTCCTATCAAATATGCTAATGGTTTCTTGATTGTATCTTACAGGGAGGAGCTGACATTTGAGATGCTTGTACTGGAACCCCGTGCCTCTGATGATGAAACTCTTGAGTCTGAGGCCTCCATTGGGACTGCTGATAGCTCAGAAAATTTGAATATGGAGTCTGAATGTGCTATCTCTGAGAAATCAGGTAAGTGAACATGGTAGACCAAAGACGCCAGATTTGTTTTGCAAAGGAGGAATAAAGATTCCGAAACTAAGACAAAGTCTTTCAAGAATGCACTGACCATACATCAGCAGTAACAAAGTCCTGAGGAATTTTGTCCTTTTATCCATATAGTTTTAGCCTTCATCGTTTGGCATACAGGTCCTTATCACTATCTGGATGGGGATAAGAAATGTAATTGTCTTTGCTACTTAGATTCCTGACTTCCATGGAAGGTCTTTTTTTTCCTGTTGTCTTTGTAAAGCTTCCATATACATTGTTTATCAAACCAACTCTTCAGTGTGATTGAGTTTTGTTTGTTTGTTTTGTTTTGTTTTGTTTTGTTTGGTAATTTAATGTTTTATCCTGTACTTACCACAGAGAAAAGCCAATAATCACAATATATGTTGTCTTACTGACCCATGACCCATTTTCTGAGCGTGGCAGGAATTGTGCCCCACTGTGAGGTGGGACTATATACATATACAAAGGAGGTGTTTAACTGGGTGGCATGTCTCAGGGAGATGTAGAACTTATCTACATATCCCGGCAGTTTTTAATATGATAGTGACTGTTCTAGGCCTCCACTGGTGGCATAGTCAAACACCAGATTTCCTTGAGGATGATTCTGAACTGCTATATAGAGAAATGGATGGTGAGCTCTCTTTGACTATGACTGTGCCCATAGTAAGTCAGCCTGGAACCTCCAAATCTTATCCCACCCAATTTCATGTATGAACAGTGACACCTATTCATTACATGATGATTTGCTTTAGAGGGCACTGTCATTTACATCTTTGGTCTCTTTTTTGCCTCAGAGAGAAGCTTAGCCCTTAGCTCCCTGAAGACAGCTGGCAAGTCTGAACCTTCCAGCAAGTTGCGAAAGCAGCTTAAAAAGCAGCAAGACTCTTTAGATGTAGTGGACTCTTCAGTCTCCTCTTTATGTCTGTCTAACACGGCATCGTCTCATGGGACCAGAAAACTATTTCAGATTTATTCCAAATCTCCATTCTACCGAGCTGCCTCAGCTAATGAGGCCCTGGGAATGGAAGGACCATTGGGCCAGACCAAATCCCTGGAAGACAGGCCTCAGTTCATCAGCAGAGGAACCTTCAACCCAGAAAAGGGCAAACAAAAATTAAAGAATGTGAAAAACTCACCTCAGAAAACCAAAGAGACCCCAGAGGGAACAGTCATGTCTGGCCGCAGAAAAACTGTGGACCCAGACTGCACCTCCAACCAACAGCTAGCACTCTTTGGAAATAATGAATTTATGGTCTGAACCAGCAGATGTGTGTCCCTCCGTGGCTACAGAGTGGTAAACACATCTCACCTTTGGGGCTGCGTTTCATCACCTCGTCCACAATAGTCCATCCTAATTGTGGTCCTGCCTCTTTTCTAAGCATATGGCTAAGACTGTATGTGCTGAATTCCTGGGCCTCCTGCAGAAGCAGAAAGCCTGCTGGGGATGGTGCCAGCTGTGCCTTGGCTGCTGTATTTGAATTGAGATTTTACTAAACAAAGCCACCTAGGGCCTGGGGATTTGGGTCAGTTATAGTTGCCTCTCCCCCACCCTCTTTTCCCTTCCCAAAGGTGGGTGTTGAACTAGGGGGGATATTGCTGACCTGAGGGACCCTCTCATTTCTGACATTTGAAGAAAACGTATAAATCTTTCTTAACTATGAAAGCAAAAGCCTTTGGGTTTATTTTGGGATAGTTAGGAGCTGGGGTAGAATATAATTTTTTTCCAAAAACTTATAAACAAAAAGCCTAATCCCTCTATTTTAAGATTTCTGAAAAAACACTCCATGTTATATTCTGGGGAAAGCAAAAAAAGTGATTGTTTGCATTAAGCCATCAGAGCGTGTCTCAGATATCTTGTTATATGGTGAAGAAGAGAATACCTATTTTGTTTTTGATGATGTTTGATGTCATAATAATCAGTGCTGGTTTGACTCCTGTTTAGTTCCTGCCAAATACATTGCATGGGCTGAAGTGTCAGTAGCCATACTGTTCTCATATTTCCTGGTCCTAGGATCAGATTCTTATACTTTAATTTTTAGTTTCCCAGAGACATGGTGATCCCTAAACTTATGAAGGTTCCATCCTAAGCCATTCAGGCTTTTCTCTTTGTATAGATTAAACCGAAAACCACATATGAGCCTGTTCATCTGCTGGTGGATTCCCACCACAGACTCAAATAATGTGACCATTTAGTTAGTTCTCCAAAAACATTCACATACAATATTGCATGAATAAGTGTTACAGAAAGCTGCCAAAAAATAAAAAGGTTTTTAATATGTCCTATCTAACTTTTATCTTCCTTTTCTCAGACCATCAGTATTAAATAGATGGAAAAAAATCAAGGACTACTTGAAGCTATTTTTGTTAATATTCTGGTTACTGAAGTTTATTGTAAATATGTATGTATAGTAGGCATATTTCTTTTTAACCTTGTGCTTCCCTCCTTCCCATGGAATTTCTTCCCACAGATTAGGGGCCACTGGACAAGGGGATGAGAGCCATTCATCCCTGGGTTGAGGGAATAGTAAGACATCATTTTCACCACTGGGTGGTCTTCATACACATGAGTTATAATAACATTTTAAGTATCTTAGCATTTGTGGGAATAGAAATCTGTTTTTGCTATTTATAATATATGAAAAATGAAACATGATAGCCTTTCTCGAGATAAGTATGTGAAATGTTTATTTTTAAAGTTACTAAATGCATCTTGTCTTGCTACTACATGCACTGCTCTGAAAAAGAGCCTTTACCATCTATAACCTGTATTTTGGTTATTCTTCCTTTTCATACTTCTTTGAAGTTGTGGAAATATTAAGTCTTTTGTTAAGGCAGAGTCTCTCCTGTTACACAACACTGAACCTCATGCCACTGCCTCAGTGGTTATTGGCCAGCCCCAGAGGTTAGACTTGGAGCATAATTCTGAGTGGCAGCTAAAGGTAGCAGGAGTTTTACCTCTCCCTGCTTTGGGTTCAGAATTGAGCCAGAGAAAGGAAGCTTTTAAAATCTCCAGAATAATGATGGTTAATGAGCAAATGTTATGCTTTATATCCCACAGACATCTGCCACCTTGTTTGTCTTGTCCTGAGGAGTAATAAATGTTAAGCTTTTAAAAATCTGAATTTCAGAGAATCTCCTAGAGGACAGAGGAAAACCCCTCAGCGTGGTGTGTCATAGTGGGATTGCTGGTTCCTTAGCCCCATGCCAGGTTGCAGAGTCTGTGTTTCAGTGTTCTTGGGGGAGTAGTGTGCTGCTGGGCATTAATTGTTACTCTGCACTTACTCCAGAATGTTGGTTAAATCCTGTATTTAAAAAAAAAAAGAGATTGCCCTTATCAGATAATTTCCTGTGGCCCAGAGGAATGGCCAGGAGAAGACATGTTGGCACATGTTCTTCCTTCTAAATCTTTGTGGGATTTTTTTGGTAAAATAAGTTTTTTGGCAGTTAAAAAATGACTGATGTAGGTCACTTTATAGGAACTAGCTGATGGATGTTAAGAGACTTTATAATTTTTCTCAGGGACCTGAAACTCCAATTTGGGTAAAATTCAATTAAAAAAAAAAAAAAGAAAGAAAGAAAAAACTTGTTTTTTTCAGTTGCTAGATTTATGTGGATTTCTAGTCATTTAATCTGCCAGGATTGGGGTGGGTGGGTGAGGAGGAGAGATCCACCAAATTGTAAGAGTGGAGAGCAGTGTGGGGCCCTCCCTTTGAGGGAAAGCCGTTGTTTACATAGGGTAATAGGCCTTGTTGGCCTGATCAAGAGATGAAGCCATAACTCCTAAAAACCTTCAGAACCAAATGCTGTGTCTGCATCCATCTGTTCTCACTGGCCCTCTGCATGGTAAAGTTATGTCACCACAAAGTGATGCCGCGTTACAGTCACTTATGAAACTTAGCCCTTCGTATGCATCACACTTGTGGTTCTGTAGTGCTTCTCCTTTGCTTGTTTGCTTTGATCTGCATGGCAGCAGTGGGGCAGCTCCACATTTGGAGCCCATACTCCAAAATGCAGAGCACTCTACTTCTAGCACACATTCCCAGCCCCAAACAAAACCTGAATTTTCAACTCTGCCCATTAAAGTGAATGTATCCCTGTAATTTAGTATGTATTTATTATGGAAAATGTAACAAAAGCAGAGAAGTGTGATTTCATTTTGTATCACAAATTGAAGCAAATTAACAGCAAATCCAGCAGGATTCAGGGAGGCTTAGTTTACAACGTATTTTGTACCTCCTGCCATTTAAATTATTTTGCCACTCTGGGCTTCTGAAAACACAAAGGGAGATACAGCCCTCCAACTATGAGCCTTGCAGAGAGAGACAAAAGGGCCAGAGGTCCTGGGATGGAATACTAGAGCCCCCATCTTCTCTTGCTTTGGAAACCTGCCAGAGCACTTATCCTGCTGGAATATTAAT